AGCATTCTCTTTATGTCAAAGTTTGTTGCCCTGCAGAGGTGACGGATGTATCCAGCCCTTTCTTCCAAGCCATCCTCCTTTCTATCCAGGGACACAAGCTACGACTGCAGCAGGCCTCTGTAGACCGCATGTGACACTGACTAGCCGCTTAACACATCCCGACAGTCATGTCTTGTTTCTCACACGACGACTGACAGGTGCTTCTCCTCAATCATCTCTGGGGCAGCTTCACCAAGCGTACGTTAGCTCAGTGGATCAGCTCAGGGATGTGAAGCCGGCCGTTCTCCGGGGGGGGGGGGCGTAACAAAGTGCCCCACCACAGCCCCGCTGCTTCTCACGTCTTGGGAAACTCTGAGAGTAAACAGGAGATTGAGCACTATTTTTTCTGTTAGATAGCTGAAGACTGTTTCCCACATTTTCAGAAAAGAAGGTAATCCAGGCCTAAAAACAAGCATTACATACAGAAATTTCTTTTCAAATCACAGAATGAATAATTCAATTGTTATAAATGGACACGATACTAGATAGTAACAGCCTTAAGTGAAGTAATTAATATACTTAACGTAATTAATTTAATCTTTTGCAGGGTGAAAAGGTTGCACAGAAAGGATAAATGATAAATCCTGAATCAAATTAGAGGATACAGCAGACGACGATGAGTATAGACACAAGGAAATACATTTAATGCTTTTCATAGGCAGTCCAGCTCACTTTGTCAGTTTGCCTTCAACACCTGCAATGCTCTGAATTATAAATAAGCTTAAATGGATTCAGTCGAGTTAGCAGAAATATTCATAAGAGGTTCTATGGGCCATGAGAGAATCTATGCACACATGCAGAAGTTAAGTATACAAGCAGGTTACGCTTGAGTATCCCAGCATACACTGCGTGAAGGTCGAGTCCTATAGCCAAGTGGCAGACTGAATGTCAGCTACGACATCACTTGGCAGTGAAAGCAGGCCCCCAGTGGCATAAATAATTGCCGTTTGTGTATATTTAAGTTGGTCAGAATAGCTCTATTGGCCACAGTACAACTGCTACAAATTTGTCAAACACCTGCAGTTTGTCAGCTGCCAGTGGCGAGAGATGTACCCTCTCCTCCAATCAGCAACAGCTATCCTGTGTGGCGTCGGGTGACTGGCAGCGTGGAAAGAGATCGATAGGTTTGACATGTGAGTCTATTGGGGAAACGCATACCTGCTGCCTGAAGGGCATCACGGCAGACAGCTGGATCTGACACATAATTGATCGCAAAAAGAACTGCAAAAATTAAGGGAAAACAATGGGGGGAAATGAGATTCTGTTGTGCTCTGGTGAGAAGAGAAAATAATCTTAAGAAAATGCAACCTGTGTACTGTACCTCTTTTCATACCTCTGACACTTGTACTAGTCCTGCAATAGTAACAATAGATTAATAGGCTTCATTGGTATAAGCCTTCAACATGTGTTGTCCATAAGAAACCATTGCTTGCTGGGTTTTCTGAGTAGTGGGTTAGATAAGCCAAACCACTCTGAAGGTTTAAAAATGCTTATTTTCTTTTCCTTTCACCCTACATGTCTTTTTTGCAGTTTTAAAAAATCTTTTTAAAATTTGTTTACAAGTAACTGTCATATTTTTTCCTATGCATATACTAAGAATATTTCCCCATAAGTCATATGAAAAGTATGACTTCTCTTTGCTACTGCATGTCTAATCTGTACCAGAAAATGCATCATAAAATGGAAATGTCCAGATTATAAGTAAATACGGTGTTGTCTCTGTTTTTCACTGCCTATATCCAAGTTTTCTCCATGCAGCATGAGTTAGAATAGATCTCCCACTCAGCCATGCCCACAAGTTTTTCACGAGCTGGCAGAATAGGGTCAATGGACTTTCAGGTCAGAGTTTCAAGTTGCTAGATCAGCTAAAATAGCAAGTTACCAATCAAGGCAGAAATCAAACAAAACCACTTCTGGGATGCCGAAGGATCTCCCCTGGTGTTTTTAGTGTTATTACCTGCAGAGAATTTTGCTTTGTTGAAAAAGCAAAGACCCCCAAGTCATTTTTATATCTGCATGCCACGGGATTGCCATTTACGCATACGAGGCTGGGCTGATTAGGTCTGAGATTTGCTTGTCTACTTTGAAGTCCTATGTATTGGCCTCCTTTAGTTCATAGCCTAAATATTTTATACACTGACACTTTTCTCCTTTCTGAAAGCAATCTGTCATTGTTTAACAGTGTTCTTAATTTGATTTCTGTCATTGATTACTTTTTATTGTTCTTTTGTAGTCCCTGTTCAGGCTGTGATGTGTATGTCTGTGTGTTTTTTTTTTGTTTTTTTTTTTTATTACAACTGAATTCAGTATTTTACATCATTGTAATGGCTACTCACCTGCACCATGCATAATGCTATTTCATTCTGTTCTTCTCCTTCTTGAGAAATTGCACTGAGAATTATTGTTACTCTGAAATTGTTTGTGCAGATTGTATAACATATACTACAGTTGTTGATACTCTCTCTTCACGCTTTAAAATGTTTTATTGGATGCTTTTCAGTGTTATTTACAAAAAAATGTGTGGGCTACCCAGGGGTGTATATTAAAATATTACCGTAAGCAAAATAAAACTATACACAGAGAAGCAATTCATATTCAATAAATTTCTTAGACTGAAAAATAAATCAAAATGTATCTGGGTATTTGATTGACTTATAAATTATTATTAAAACCATTATTTAAATCATTAGACTCTTTGATTTATTATTAAAACCATAATTTAAAACCAGAATTTTCGGAGGATTCCGTCGACTTCTATAAAAAGCTTATTCTCCATAGCAGAAGGGGAAATGGGAAATCCTTAATTAAAGGGGAAGTCCGTTTTTTCCATCAACGTTGCCACTTCTGATAACAATTTTACCCAAGCATAGTGTTTTTCTCTAGATGCTTCTGAGCTGTAAATATGGTCATACTTCTTTTTAATTACTGCGTGTTTTAAAAATGCTTCCATATGTGCTGAATATTGACGCCACACTCCATTCTCTTTGTAACAACCGTCATGAAAAATCAGCTAAACATCAAAAACAGAAGTTGATAGCTATGCTTGCCTGTCTTTATTACCCCACCGGTTCACTATGTCGCCATATTTGGTTATATCAGATTATTGTCGTCGTTATAGAAAGCAATGAATGTGAACCATGTGGAGCAACCCTCAGGGATTGTATTACGCAGGTCCATATGTTATCAAGATTGGTCTGTGCTTCTTCCCTAACTTTCTTTTAATATCCTTTGGAAATTGAACTCTCTTGCAGTCTCTTTCTCTTGGTTATTATACTTTCTAATCATTGTGACCATTTTACAGGCACTCAAGAATGAGCCGAGATGAGACCATTTGTATTGTAATTTCAAAGAAATCCATTACACTAGTGTGGGGTATGCAAGAGAGAGAGAGAGAAAAGTTAAAAACACGAATCATTTCCTTTGTTCCTTTTCCATAAATTAGATTGGGTCTTGAAATGGTTTGCTGCATGGGTGTGTATTTATACTGAATTTTTTTTTGTTGAGAAACTGGTTTTTAATCATGTAATGATAGACACATTATTGAGCCGCTGGAATAAAATTACCTAATGATAGATTGATGCAGTGTTTAACTGCCAGGACACATAAACTTAGTATTTCTTTGATTACACTGGTTATCAGTTCATTTCCATGAATGAATAATTTAATCTGTGGAATACAGGCTGCTGCACATTCATGCACTGGCAATATTTTAGTTTAAATTAGTCATCTTTTATTCATGAATTATTACTTCATAGTAACTCCCATACCATTCTTGAGTCATGAATTGATGTCAGAGCTATAAATGATTATTTAACCTTTGCCACTCTGTCACCACAGAAATACCAAATGCCATTTTTTATGCAAGATGATACGATTTTATTTAATTGTACCACAGCTTGTTAGATTTCAATATATGTTCATTACTGAATGAAATCTAGGACCAGTGTCCATCACCCCATTACACTGCAGAGGATGTAAACAGAGTGTCCCATGCCGTTTACAATTAATATGTGGAGGACTGATTTTTAAAGACAAGGAGAAGCATACATTAACAATAAACGCATAAGAAATGCCAGTGGATTTTTTACTGTGTATGTATTTTTCATGTCACAAGCAGACATGCTCATTTCATATTCTAGCGAAGCAGCATGCAGCAAGGAGATATATTTTGTGCATTCTCCTAAAGAATGAGCTGTGTGGTTATGCACAGCAATGACAGAGACAATACACAATAAATGGGTAATCTGTCCATCAAAACGCATTTACTGAAATGTGCATATTCATTCCAGGGTAATTTAGTGTCCTTGTGAGAGAAGCCTGGCAACTGGATGAAACTGATATTAATCCAGGAATTAATCTAAGTCAAGGGTGAAATTTGTTTCATAGCATGGACAGATAAAACTTTTTGTTTATATTCGGAAGTATTAGAAGTTTATACGCTCCCCACCTATATGTATCTCTGTTACCGTGTACTACAAAGGTGTCGATGGGCACGAATTGAAATTTATATATTTATGGGTATGTATTCATGAATAAAAGTAAAGAATCTGGAATTGTTTTTTTCCGTTTTCTTTTCTTTTTTTTTTTTTTTTGTTTCAACATAGAAATTTAGAAATTGTTCACACATAATATATAACCTTATACGGGCAATTTACTGCCAGTACATGAGTTCATCTCCTTACGCAGATGGGATATTGTTCTAATTGTCATTTTTATTTGATTGTATATTGGTAGTTAAAATGTTACATCAAGGAAACATGTCATGCACTTGTACATGTTTTTAATCCGCCTCTGCTTTGTGGTATTTTTTTTATGGGAGAGATTGAACAAATTCAAACATGTTTCTCGTATATAATATCAGACTGTGTTTCTTATGAATAAATTGCGGTGTGATTCACCTTTACCATCATAATGCTTCATTGCGGTAATATGGTTTTAACCAATACTGTATTCATTGGCAGGTCAACAGACTATGGGACCACTTATGAAAAAGTAAATGACAAAGTGGGATTAAAGACAGTGCTGAGCTACTTGTATGTCTGCCCAACAAATAAAAGAAAGGTAAGGCCTTTGATGTTTTTGTCATGTCTGTGCAGGGTATTCACATGACATTAGTACTGAAAGCTATAGGCATGTATGTTAAATTATGCAGTTTCCATGTAACTTTACATATTATTTTTCACCTGCTAGATTTTATACCAGATAATGTGGACTATAACAAAAATTGAATGAATTTCCCATAGTTAGAGACAATGTCAGGGCGTTAATATTGATTCAAAAGAAGCCACATACTAAAAAGTTTTTGGGTATCTGTTATAAACTGCAGTACTTCTTAAAGTCCCCCAAATCCCCCTCCACACACATCCAAGACACAGTTCACGTACTTTGCTGCTGCACACTTGTGTCTCTCTGCTCCCGTAGTTAGGATATGCAGATTTTCTCATTTATATACATAACAGCAAAAATGGAACAGCTGCTACTGTTAAATTATAATAGTGCATTTATTTATTTACTGTCAAGTTGTTTTAGGCAGATCCTTCAACAATGGCAGAAAGTCTAAAATACTAAAAGCCGAAGAAAATTTGGCAACACTTTACTTAAAGCTGTCATCTGTAATGCATTACGGATACCTTCATAATGTATTACAAGGGTTGGTATAAGAATCAATAAAGCATTACAGCATCTTCTACTGACAGTCATAAGGCATTATAGTGTTGATTATAACACCTCATAAGCTCCAGTGAAGCTCTCATCCATAATGCAGTATAGATACCTTCATAATTCCTTATAATGGCAGGTATAACAATTAAAGATGCTTTGTTCTGCATTATGAAGGTACAGTATCTGTAGTGCATAACAGATGAGAGCTTGATTACAAATTCCTAATGCTATAGCCATGTTTATACAGTAATGCTTTATGAATGCATTTTAATATATTATGAATGTGTTCATAGATTCTTATAGACATGACATTCTTAGTGTTACTGAAAATTTCTATAATAAAAAAAAACATTGCTTATCTGGAAAATGACATCAATGCTAACTGTTGTAGACATGTAAACTACATATAGATCCTGTTCAAGTATAGCCACAGTCCATCCATACAGTTCCTTCCACTTACCTTTGACATCCTCAGAATTTGCTTTGCAGATAGTAAAAATGCTTCGCCAGAACATCTGAAATATGTGTGGAAAGCTTTTCTCATTATTATGCAAAAATAAATCACATCAAGGATAATCTTGGTAGCCATATAAGTAAAGTTTCTTATTCTTGGCTGTGAAATTAATTTTTCCAATTTATTTTACAAAACAATCGTAATGAAAATTCATTCTTTCATTCTTTACACCTAGGTTCAGTTATCACACTTACAGTATAAGTTTTAATCGTAGTTCCTTCCTCTAGAAACAGACCTATTTCCAGGACTGTGTCTTAATTGCCCTCATTGTAAAGCATCAGAAAATATGTCTTTCACATAAAGTTTAAGTTTTTTTTTTCCCTCCATAAAATGAAATAAACTGCGAAATGCCAGGGCTGTATGCCAACTTTGCCAACTTCATTTTGAAAAGGATCACACTATACTTGTGCGCTGTGTGTCTTTGTATATGTGTATGTGCAGCAATTTTTGGTAATTATTTCTGGAGTGGCAGTTCATAAAAAATATTTAATTACATTTAATGGAATTCCTTTTGAGCCAGTGTGTCAAACATATGTTCATGCATGCACTTAGTCATAAATTGAACATGATAAGAATTAATGCTAAGAATTAATAATATTTGTTATATATATATATATATATATATATATATATATATATATATATATATATATATATATATATATATATATATCAGTTTACATAAATGACTCATTTTCTTTATGCATCCTCTACTAACACTGTTATGAAACACTTCACACATTAACTAAAAAGGATTTTCTTAAGACATGGAGAATATTAGCTAGATGACTCAACCTAAAATTGTGCTATTAATAATATCAAATTTGCTTGTGTGTATATGATAAAATTTTTATAGCTTGAATAGCAGGATTTCCAAAGAACAGAATGTTTCATATTGAATGGGCGTTTGATCACAGTGGATCTGCTTGTCAGCTTCACCATATACGGGGATTGTACCATCTCTGTTCTGATCCCTGGGAATTTTATTGTATAAAAGAACAATGGAATATCCACATACCATTTGTGACATCACAATCTGAAGGCTGCATATAAAAGTGTTTAACTTCCAAAATTCCAAGTATGGTAGTAATTATTAAATATTCCATGATCTTCGTAAACTTGTCTATTTACACGATCTGTCACTGAAAAGTCCAAAAGTCATCGATTATCCAACCATCCATTTTACACTGCTGACTGTCTGTCTTCCACACAGGACGTGGAGCCAATCCCAGGCAGCATAGGGCAAATGGCAGGGCTGCACCATGAAAAGGATACCAGTCTGTCGAGTTGACAGTGGGTCCTGCGTATCTGCTGTTTCAGTTATCTACGGTTTACTGCGCTCCAAAAAAATTGGAAATTACAGAACTAAGAGGTTCAAACCGCATGCCGAGGGAGTGCAGGCAGTAACACAGTGAAACTCACCAGTCCAGTGACACCCAGTACTCTGTTCCCTTTGTCCCCAATCCACCCCCCACCCCCCAGGACTCTCATCCATTGCTGTGTTATTCCAGTGTATATGTTATAAAAATGTATAAAAGCATTACGTTATCCCTTAATGTGTGTTTTCACTGCTCTGTCATCTCTGGAGAATTAGGCAAAAAACTTCAGAATCCCTTTCATTCAAGAGAGGGTACAGTACTGAATAGCAATGATAAACAATGTACTTTGTTATTTCTGTATCTAATTTCGGTAAGTTTTACTATGCATAATTTATCAATTGAACGTTACCATATGTAAGCGAATGAAAATCACGTTATATACAGTATGTAGTCCACGGATGGTTTGCTATTATCTACAGTTTTGGTCATCCGCGGTAGGTCCTGGAATGTATCACCTGTAGATACTGTACAAGCACCAACTACAGTATGGGCAATTTGCAGTTGATATTCAGCTTAGCTTCATATCTTTGGACTGTTGGAGGAAGCCCAATTGCAACAAGGCGATCATGAAATCTCTAGGCAGACAGTGGCAGTATTACCCATTGGGCCCCGGTGCCAGTCACATTCCTGACTAGTATTTTAAAATAACTAAAGTTTATCATTTGTGATTGATGTAGCGCATTCCTCTTGTTGGAGCATCCAGAGAGGTGCACAAGCATCCAGCAGCTTTCCAGTACCTCCCCGCAGATGCTCGGTGGTGACAGCCTCACATCACAGGAATGCTTATTCTCTGCAGCAACTGGAAAGCTGTGTTGACAATGAATGAAAAGCCGACAGAGAAAGATACACACAAATTATGCATGTCCTTGGGTGGCCCAGTCAAAGTCCTCAGCTGAATCTTACTGAAGTTTGACAGAATTTCTGAAAATGTCCATGAAAACTCCCGTCCCTGAGGAATACCCAAATCATCGGAGACAGCTCGAATGAAGCTGCCAAGAAGTGTGGCCAAAAATTTCAGAAGGAGTATACGCATTTGGCAGGCTCGCCAAAAATTAGTTTGTGGCTCTAATTGCTGCCAAAGGTGATTCCAAATAGAATAGAAGTGTTATTTATTCATAGGTGGAAATTGGGAAGTTTCTGCAAACCTCATCTTGCTCTCGATGAGAGACACAGATGCATACAGGACATGCAGGACATGCAGGAATGTGAATACAGTTTTATGGGGTCTAAGCACAGGGTTGCCCAGTACCCAGCCCCCCTTACTACGCAGGAGTAATATAACTATTTTACTAGCCATCAGATTACAAGCCACAGCTTCTTGGACGTAACTTGTCCAGCTACATGCCACATATAAGAAAACTTCAGTTCAGGTGTTAGAATCTAGAACTATCAAAACATCTATAGTACGTAAAACCTAAGCATTGTTTAATATCTACATATTGATCACTATTACTGTGTAATACTTAATTTCTTCATGAAAGTAATACTGGATCTTAATCTTTTTGATTCATATTGCAATCTATGGACGTATTCATAGCCAGGGCTATGATACATAAAAGCAAACCAGCAAGTTTTAGAGTAAAAGTGAATAAAAACAATAGCTACATAGTGAATAAATTTGTTCAACAGAAAGCCAATAAGCTGTAAAATAATAAGGTTTTCCTTGCATAAAACTCAAAAGGACAATTAGTTGTTTGCAAATGTTAAAGATCTTGCATATTTGCCCATTCTGAACAGCAAGTTTACATTCATTAAGTATTATTAAGAATATCGCTTGCATGATGTATATTAATGATGTTTTCTTATGAGAAAATTAAACCACAAGTCTTAGGGCTATAAGCTTCTAAATCTGTCTTTCCACCCACCAAACTCTGCAGGTACTCACCTTGAGGTAATTGAATGGCATGGGTATGAATAATGATGAATACTCTAATTAGGATTATAACATTCATTATTTAAGTTCTGTTCTCTGATATATTTTAATATTTTCTGTAGCTTTATGTAGGTTCTGTTTTAATATATATTGAAATATATTCCTTAATATGTTGCTTAACAACAAAATAGAAAACAACATGATGTAGCTATTATTTTCCATTGATTTGCACTGATGAATTAATTGCTGCCTTAACAGACAAATTCCTGCTGGTGCCATTAACACTGATAACACCTTAATCAGTAAACAGGAACAACATGGTAAACTGGTTTATTAAAATCAAGTTAAAATACTTGTACTAATATACAATACATACTAATGTATTATGCAGTGCAGATAAAGAGACGGAAATGAACTTCTGTCTAAAGTATCTATAAATGAGTAAAGGACGTATTATTTATATTAAATAAATTGGGGAAAGACCTGAATGGCCAGGGGTCAAAACTTGTCTCAAGTTTGATTAAAGTGATGGGAGTTGTTTTGTTCATGTGGTGAGTTGTAGATTCAAGTACTTCCAGTTTTTCTACATGCTTAAGCTGAGCACTGACACAAAAATCAAGTAAGCAAGGTGAAATGTAATTTCCCTTTGCAATAAATGCAGTTGCTTAATACAATATTATTGAAAATGATTAGGCCTTAAAAACTATAAATTGTATGTGACAAGCCATAAGACTCATGGAGGAACAAGGGACCTCCTACCGTCCCCATGACGGTAATGAATAGCAAAATTGGAGGCCCAGACCAACAAAAAAACTGGCACGGAATCTGCAGTCTGTTTATTGGCTCTTAATGAAAAACAATTTATCTAAATCACCACCAGGGAGGATTCGCAGTTAAAGCTGTGGAAAGAGGGATGGCATTTTTGTCAGTGACAAATGTGCTGCTGTTTTTCCAATTCAAATCCTGTTGAGAAAAGAAAATACAGCTGCTTGTGTTTGTTACTACCGGAGCCCTTTGCTATCCTTACAGAGCTTGAGTTCTCTACTTAATTATCATTAAAGCTAGCTGCCAGAACCTGCTGAGATGCATTAAATCAAGGGATCAAACCATATTCTTCTGGCTGAAGGGTGCATACGCCCTTTTAAATGGAGAACCTACCAATAACAACAAACAAATAAGTAAATACACAAATAAATAAAATACTGAATGTGCATGAGTGCTTACATTACTTTTTTTTGTTTATTTTTTTTAAACGTTGGATGCAAGTAACTGCAGCTATGACATATCTTGAGCACGAGCACTTTAATGTTTCTAACACATGAATTACGACGTTATAAAGTATAAATGTTATTCCGGTTTTCTGAATGGATGATCACAAATGAGTTGCTGCAAATCTAACATAAAACTGCCAAATAAAAGCTTCCATGTATACTGACAAATGGGTTGCCTACTGAAAGTTCTGATGAAAACAGAGTTTACTGGAACACATTTAATGAAATTAATCAAGGCATTGACAGTTTTGACAGCAGTGTGAATCATACACACGCACACACGCACACACTTATGTTATATATATATATATATATATATATATATATATATATATATATATATAAAAGCATATTTTCCAGTGAATAATAATGATTACTTAATAAAGTAAGAATACTGAACTCTTTGATGCCCGCAACCCTGAATAGGATAAGCAGGTACAGAAACTATATGGATGGATGGAATCCTTTGATGCGATCAGGTTTGAATTAGGATGTAAACTTACATTTCAATTGCCGGTGAGAACGTTAAAACCATTTTATCTCCAGATGGCAGTCACTAGGTAATATAAAAAGAAACATGTTGTCTTCTTGAAAGCCACAATATTGACAAGAATACAAAGTTTTTCCCAAGAACTCAGGCTTCTAAAAATGTTTATGTCCAATAAATGTATTTATTTATTTGCAATTAGGGTTCTTAATAAAATGGATGAATCTACTTTGAAGACCTTGAGTGAGAAAGTGGAGACACAATGATAAAATAGCTTTTCACTTCCTTTTGCTCATATTCTCTTCTATTTTTTTAGTGGTAACATCAATTATGTCTTGTTGATGTGACCAAAAAAAGCTCAGAATGTGAAAGACTGCAATGGGTTTTCTGTGATATATTTCAAATACATCCTATGTATTTCAGGAGAGAGATATGGCAACTGTACCACACTTAAATATCCCCAGCACTGTATATCTCTAAAAACTTTTCAAAAAATTCATTTATAGATTTTATGTAGTGGCATGGTGGAAGCAATTTAGAAATAGTTTTCAAGGTTTTGTATACCTGGTACGAAAGCAGTGGCCTTGTCACCAAAGGAAATTGTGCCGGAGGACAAAAGAAAGAGACAATATGTTTTTACGAGAAACAACACAAGACAATATTCTTTACTCAGGCCACTAGGTAAGGCTCTATCAAGAATGTATTTAACTGGGACTTTCGTTACAAGGAACCTATCAAAGGTGAAATCCCATAACAAGGCCTTCCTTCTGTCTGTGGGTTTTAATGTCCTCAGAGATGCAGCATCTGATTCCTTCAGCAGTTTGTCTTGAACCTAATGTGTGGATTAGGGTAGATCATTTAACCCACATAAAGCATTGATCACAGGCATTGAACTGAGTATGGGTTTATTTGGTACGGTGGTAGAATTTTATGTTGATAGATTAAAAACAAATGAGGTGTTCACAAAGAATCTGCACTAAGGGAGATCACTACCCAAAAATAGTTAATGCAGAACACAAAACAGGCTGCTTTGGAAACTGAAGAAGAAGAAGAAGAAAATTACCTGATCTCTTGTAGAAGTGTCTCCCTAAATTTAGATCAATGAAGACGGTTTCTTCTGAAAATGATGTAAATGATGTACTGTACAGTATATACATTGCAGTGCTGATGTTGGTCATTTCCCCTTCTCCTTCATGGATGAAGCTAAGGAGAGCTGCTGCGTATCTGATATGGGAGCTGCTGGAACTTACACTGTTTACATAACTGACACAATCAACATCCATTATTTCTGCACTTTAGCCAGGAATTAAAAGAGTTTAACAAGTATAATTGTCTTTGATTTGGCAATGATTAGAGAGCATTGTAATGCAAATGAACACTGACTTAATCTGACTTAATAGACAGTATATGATTGTAAAGAATTTGACTCTCTATATGTGTGTTTTGCCATTCATTGAATAAATTGTTCATCCTCAGCTTCCTTAATATTTAATTATTAACTGGTTTACTAGTATATCCTATGAACTTTACTACATACAACCTATAGCATTAAAGAAAGTTGCTTGCATAATTTGTGCAATATTTTTGTACTATTACTATACATACTTTTTGCAATCTCATAACATCAATAAATAAACATATATACAGTGGTTCAAAATTAAAGTAATATGAATGCCGCTCTGTAGATTCCCAGATTAGATTACAGTACATGAGCCTAGATGTTTGTGGCTGTGAATTTAATGGTACCCATCAGTGCGTCTCTAAATGCCATTCCTTATCTCGTTCAGATATTGGTGCTAAGTGACCCGGACCACGAAAGCAGCATCCTGATCAGCTCTGATGAGGGTGCAAGCTATCAGAAATTCCGGATGAACTTTTATATTCTGAGTCTTCTATTTCACCCAACGCAAGAAGACTGGGTGTTGGCATACAGTCATGATCATAAGGTAAGAATTTAAAATATTATATACTTATACATCTTTCAATATGTTTAAATACGTTTCAGAATGTTGCCATTAATGGTCAAGGTCTACTCTGCATAACACATGCTGAATATGAAGCAGTATTGATTACGACTTCACCTGTTTTCCAAAATACAAATTTCCTGAATTATTACAAGGGACTTCAGATACCTGTTTTGTTGTGAACATCTGGTAGATTTAAAAATAAATATGGAAGAATAATCAGTTGATGACCAATAATGTCACTGCATCCTTATGTATGTACTTCACATCATGCTAAATATGTGTCATAAAAGTTCAAAAGACTAAAATTAATAAAATTATAATTTCTGGATTTTCGAGCGCCTGTCTGTTTTAACTTCAGAAATAGAGTCGTCTCGTTTTTCGTCATGAAGCACAATGTCTAGCTACACTTGTTAAGGCCCGTCAGTTATTCATCAGACATGGTGCTGTCCTGCTGCATGACAGTGCTGAGTGTGATTTTGTTTGACTGACCTGCCTGTTGTCTGACCTGTGGCGGGTTTTCTCTGGGGATATACAGAGAGGCGTTTAGCAACAGAAATGTTCTAACCGACTTTCTACCATGCAAAGACTACAGACAGGGGTGGATTTACCATAAGGTGAGGACAGCCAGCTATCTGGGCCCTGCCAAGACTAGGGGCCCCATCAAGACAGGATTTTCAGAAGTTACATTTAAGGATACGACATAATATGATCATTTAAACGATAGCAACATGTATGCTATTTGCATTTTTAGCGACAGTTTTCAGGATAGACAAAATTGCTCCCGTCTATTCTACTTCGAGACGTGCACTGCCCAGCTTTTTCTCACCACTGGAGCCTACTGATTGTTTACTGCCAAGTGAGCTGGCACAAGGATACAAGACTATCATTACGTCTGCCTTGTCTGATACTGTCTCGTTAGAGTCGTAGAGAACTTGTGAACAAGCATGGAGAGAACACAATTAAACGAACGTATGCAAAAATCCAGTACTAAACTTAGCAAAAGAAGGAATGATTAAACTTATTGACTGACCAACCCTCCAGTGCAATACCCCCCTACCCCATCAGCAAATTTTACCAACAGCATCCCCCCCCCCCCACCCTCATCGGTACGTTTTACTGCTGGCACCCCACACTTTGATTGGAATATTATTGATGTTCTATTGTTTTAATTTTTTCCCCCCCGTTTCTCTTTCGGCTCCCATTTGTATTGGCTGAGACTCAGTGTATCTTCGCTGTCCAATGAGAAAGATGTATCTCCAAAAATCCATTATTTCTGGAGGGTGAAATAAAACACATTTTCTCACTTCGCAAAAGAAACCTAAAACAATGTACTGAGGCACCCATAGCACCACAAATGAAACTTTATACAGCTGTCAGTGAACCATTTAATGATTTAAATGGACTTGCGTGGATTGTTTTCAGCGTCAAAAAGATATAAGTTAATCACACTTTGTATTCACAATTAACAACGACGTTAGCTACAGTAGCTACAGTATCTAGCTATCAACTTCAAGTCATTACACTTAGCAATATAAAGTAATCCATACAAACAACCAATGTGAACTAGTACAAAGATATATAATAGTTAATTAGATTACTATGTAAAACATCTTTTAATTGGTTAATTAGATGTCAAACTATCAGTAGACATAGGAGAACTGGCTTAATACATTTATAATAAAATGGCACAAGAGGATGCAGTGTTCATCGGACAGCAATAATATGCAAAGTTTAAGAAAGACAATATCAGAATTACTACAACTGCAAAATCTCCACTAATTATTGAAAGATTTTCCTCCCACAAGAAAAATAATACCTTCCATCTTCTTCATACTCTCCTGGGTAACTTGTAAGATGGATTCAAGAAAGAAAAATCTCAACTGCAATTTCCACGGCGTCATCTTACAAGGCTGGACATGCTGAAGAGCTAAAATAAAATACAAGGTCTTAACACTTGGATCTGGATTTAATAACTAGACTTGCATCAAGAAATATTCTTAATGCATGCCTGCCCTCCTATTTCCACTTGTTAAAATAACCTTCTCCACTTGGTTTACCTCAGCATTATGTGCACTAATGCACAAATATACCTATACAGTGGTGCTCAATCACCACAATTAATCCGGCAGATAAGCGCACAAATTGGCCTGCCTCAAGCTACCAGCTGTTGTGCGTGGGTAGCACGAGCTCTCAGCGGCCGCTTCACCAACTTCTAAGATGTAAGAAGACAATCTTAACCATAGCAGCAACACTAATAGACCATCGCTTAGCGCCGCACTGTTTAAATTACAAAGCAGCATTTCTGGAGAATCAACTCCATGTTGAGTAGCAGACATCAGTCACACGGCGCCTCCAGGAATGTGCGTGACCCTTCCCACCTGCCTTCATGGTCCCAGTTCCATCTTTGTCTGTGCTTGATGGGAATGCAGCCTGCAGCCATGATTTGACTGCTCGTCTCACTGGTGGGAGATCAAACATAGAGGGACCATGCTGTCTTTACAGCTCATTATAGCATTCATGAATGACATTCACGCCAAGCATTCTCGGCACCTCCTGCATGGACGGAGAACCTGAGGTGAAGATTCTTAATAACCAAGACACCATGCTTGCGAATTACCCTGTCCAGTGGCTAAATTTAAAGCTCGGTGTAGCTATGTCAGGCTAGGTAAGCCTATCCCATTAGCCGAAAGGAGCTGCTGTGCAGGCACTAGTAGGGCGTCTCACGGCCCTAGTGATCAAACAGGAAGTCTCATTGTGGACTGACATTGCTGCGCATGTACATGGCAGACTGCCACTTTTCCACGCATCATACCATTGGTCAGTTCACCTGAGCTGTGGTTGTCCAGTCAAAATTAACAACCGGCAAACTGCCGGTCAGCAGGTCCGAGCAAATCAGACTTCCAACGGCTTACATTAGGCTCACTCATTTTGTTAAGTAAAGCGGGACTTTGCTCCTTTACACCTGGCCAGGCACTTTCATCATTCCCAGAAAATTGAACTGGCCCCTTACAATCTCTGCAAATGACCAGAGCAGTAAGATTAATGTGGGGATGCCTGCAGGGATTTCCTCAAACCTTATTCAGTTGCTCTGCTGTCCCTTTGTGCTTCCTGATCATTTTGCTGAACCTCGTGTCATTTAAATCATATACGTATCTATAATAAATGACTGGGACGCAAATATAGCGGTTTAGGGAATATAAAAAATCAGAGTATGTATAATAATTGCTTGACTGATACCATTGGTAATATATTATTATTATTCATATTTCTTCTTCTACTACTTCTTATTTCATTAGTAATATGTTGCTGAATAATTATTAGACACACACCCATTTATATTTGGTTAAACACAGCTTGATGGCTTTAATATGGCATCCACTGTGCATTGGAAATTTGCCCCCTATTACTATGACAGAAAACTTGTAGCACAACTATTTTCCAGTTTCATGAGAGACCAGCATAGCCTAAAAAGAATAACCCAGTTACATATTAAATAGAAATAATTTTTATTATTGATTGTAATATAGCATTTACTGTATCTTGTAAAGTATATGGCTTAAAAAAACACTGAACGAAACATGCAAACTACACTTGGTTGAACACCTCTATAATGATGATTGGTAATTTTTAGAGATCATATTTCAGAGATAAAATTATTTTCACTGTTTCCAAGTTATGCATCAGACATTTAACTATCGTTACAATTTATATGATTTTAATGGGGCAAAAAGTCTTATTAACTAATTCAACTGTGAACTATTAAGAAAAACTTACATTAAAAAGTGCTTTGCCTAAGAAATGGTGGATCTAAAGATTTAAAATAAAAAAAATGCTGTATCTTCAAAAAATGCACAACTCAATTTCCATCTCCATCTCCATCTTTTAACGGTATTCACTCCACATAACCCCCAATACCTTGCTTGAAGCACCATCAATCTGATAAGAAGTGACAGTGCATGGTTATCAAGCAGCTGACTCTGCTGACTGCTAATAGCTTAATGCATTCACTATGTAGAGTACTGCTTGCTGAATTCAGATTTCATTTAATGTTTATTGGGTGTTCAGCTTAATGTCATTTCTTTTCCTTAACAATATCCAACAAAAGTAAAACACATGGAGCTGCCTTTATAAAATACTTATTCGCTGTTGTGGTTTCATGCAAGCTTCTCAGTACATTCCTTCATAAAGCATCCCTGTGTATGATATCGAGGTGGAATATCAACAACCAGCCCCAGATGATGGATTTCGTGCCTTCTGCACACTGCTAACCAATGACAAGTGCACACCAAGCACTACCTGCATTATTTACTTCCAGTTCAAAAATTATTCCAAAATCTAGAGTTTTGTTTTTCTTCATTTTTGTCAAATGATTGTGTGTAAATGTTTCAATATCCATTGGGTCCATTTTGTCAATGTCATTTTCATTTACCTGCTTAAGAATAACCGTTGCCTTATATCTTTGCTACTTCAAAGCAAATTAGGAAAGCAACAATATCTAACTTCACATTCACTTCTGAAATTTTCTCTAGTGAAAACTAAAGAATATCACTTATATACTATATAGAATTTTTGAGCATTGAGGTGAATGATTAAGTTAAGCTAAATTAACACAGACAGTGACACTATAGGAGGACTCTATGTGTTCCACCTCTGCAGTGGCATGACGTGATAGATAGGAATGTCTTTTTAAAAGGCCACTGTGGATTTAATGAGAGAAGAGAGGAAAAAAAGCTTCTACATAAATGATTATTTTATAACCAATAATATATTAGTGCCACACATCTCTGGAGTAATTAATTTCATTTTGATTTCATCATGAAGAATTAGTGTAGACAAAGGAAAAACATTTTTTTAAAGCACTGTCTCAGACTTTTACTAATAGTTTTTAATTTTACAGTCAAATACTGACTGACATTAAGTTAACTATGCATGTTTCTATATACCGTATGCTTGGCTTTGAAAATTATGAGCTAGACAAGTTTCTGCAAATCTGACATATCTCCATATTTATGGAACTTAAAGACAGACTTAAGGAATGGATCTGACTTTTAACTTGGGGACTGCCTTTATGGTAGATTTGAGGTCTTTCAAAGTTTAATGTATTAAAAAGTTTACACAATAGACAGGTCTTCTACTGTATATTTATTGTTTTTTCCATTATGTTTTAATACATGCAGTAAAGTCCACCAAACTAATGTACTAACTGAAGTAATTCCATATCTGCCAAGCCTCATGTTTTCATAGACCTCAGGGAAAAGTGTGGATATAAAATTACTTTCTCCTGGATCTCCAGATTTTTGCACTACTCTTCCGTTGAACTACTTTCAAAACTCAATTGTGTAGGTGAATGGTACAGTTGCTTGCTTTTTGTAATCTCAGGGTCACCAGAAGTTCGATAGTAACATGAAAAATGTTACTTCAAAGGGGATGCTGTTCAATATGTATAAAAACAGCATGAGGAAAAACATTTCTGTCTGCTGCGAGAAACACAAGGTCTTCCTAAAGAACAATTATATACATTTCTATTACCATCAAAACTCAAAGCGACTCCATTCCCATTTTGAATTACCACAATTCATTTTTGTTTCCGAAATAATCAGAAAGCTGTGTGCTGCCTCAGAGAGTAGCACTTTCACCTCATGGCCTCTGGGATGTCAGCTGAAATATGGCCTCTGCTCTTTGTGTGTGGACTTTGCATGTTCTGCACCCTCTACATGGGTTTCCTTCTGCAGTACAATGACATCTAACCAGGTTAATCCGTGATCCTAGATTGTCCACAGTGAACGATGGAGTTGTTTTGTAAGTATGTTCCCCGCGAATGACCAGCATCTCATGGAATGAAGCACCTCAGCCTCATCCCCTGTGTTCTCTAGGACAGGTTTCAACCTCCTCTCCTTGTGACCTCGATTAAAACATAAGAAGGTGGTTGGGGAAATGTACCTTTTATTTCGTTGTAGGTGTGTTGTTCGACCAAAAAGTCAGAGGTCAACTGGTGGAAGGTTTGTGATAAAACATGAGTACATACTGTAAGCTGCTTCTTCAGAAGTGTCACAATATTTTCACCCCTGACATCAGTAAATATCTTTCGTATTATATAGTTTATTTACTAAAATGTATTTATTTCACCTGAAGAATTCATTGGTAATTAAATTTATATGCATGTGCACAGTGCTTCATTGTGAGGTAGAACTGAATGCTGGTTCATTGTATCTCTATAATGAAATCTCACACTATGAGAAATCCATAATTCAGCATATGGTCATTAAAGACACAAGTGAGAATACCAGTTCTATATGGAACAAAAGAACCTTTAAAAAAATAAACACTCTTTAGGTTTAAATGTTTCAAGGTGGCATGGATTCATATGCTCTGACTCCTTAGGTTATTGTATTTTCATTTTAGTGAAATGCCTTTGTTCATTCAAGGGACTGATGATTCTGTGCAAATGTGTCAGGTGGCTGTCAAACTGATGGCAAGTGACAGCTCACATGACCTTTGTGGCGTAACGTATCCGAGCCCATCTATCTGTCATGTGTTTACTGACAGTGCTTTTAAAAGGCATTTCCTCAAACTAGTGTCTACTATATAATCCAGCAAATGATGTGGTTGTGCTACAGTTTGCTACATATTATATGAACATGATATAATGTTCCGTACAAAGGAAATTTCTCAGTATTATGAAAATGTATATACTACACACAAGGTCTGCTGTCTAGAGAGATTTTCAATATAGGAAAGTACCATAAGACAGAATGTAGGTGAAAAGGCTATTCAAATAAAACACTTTTATTATTATGTTATTAATGATTTCTCAAAATATAACACCCTCAATATAAGACGCAGTTATGCAAATATTCTTATTGGACAAAAAGACATGTATGTATGGTCCTTAGTATTAAGTGCATATTTAATTTATGGCCTATTATACTGAGTTTATATGAGCAGGAATCACTTAGATCATTGAAAAATGTGTGTGCTGAGTGAAAGAAATGCAGGGAAGCATCGAGATGGGATTCATATATAAAAATGCATGTTTACTTCTCGGTATATCAAGATCAAGTAGCTCTTAAATACGATTATGTTGATAAGAAATGAATGTACATAATAAAAATACATTTGTAATTGATGTAGTTGCTCCTCAGATATTAAAAAATGATAGCAAAACGTCAGAAAGTATTACGTAGTTTTGCTTAGGGAAACAAGGTAACATTTTACTTAAGGCCATGTTTTTAGTAATTTTTAAATACATTCATAAGAAATAATAATGCATTCATAAAGCATTATAACTAGGGGTGCACCGATCGATCGGCGCACCGATCGATCGGCG